AGAACACCCTACAATCTACACACCAACACGCTTAGGCTTATACAATCCTGTTTTCTAATTCACTGGATTAGAAAATGGGATTTGTCTGACTTCATCATAATTTCGAGATAGCTCATGGCAAGACCCGTGCGGTGGACATACTGTGAGCCAGGGTAGTCGCAACGCGTCAGAGGCTGTGCTGTTGGTCCCCCTCCTTCTCAAGTATCTCAACTACATGTCAGGAAATGTGAGTGCCTACCTACTTATTTGCTTTTTTGATGGTACAGAAAGAAGAGGATTCTTACATGTGGCCTCCAGTTAGTTCATGGGAGAGATGAAACAGTTTGGGAAATTTGTCTCCTCTTTATAGAATCATGAAGAATAACAGAATACCAGGAATAGACAGAGCCTAGAAATTATCTCACATTCTGCAGTCAGTCACATGGCCCTTTCCATATTTTGTTACCTCTATACCATCCTTCAATATTGTTAAATTAGTTCATGTTTTATAAACTTTGGGTTTTTTTTTTTTTAATCATATCCTGCGATAAGTTGGGAATCAGTATAATCTGACGTAAACAGAAGACTGCAATAAACAGACTGAAAATATCACACTGTTGTGAAATTCTTACCAGATGCTGAAGCCTTCAGCCTGCCCAGGCTGCACCCAGAAAGGGAATTCAGCAAATATGAAGGGAGAACAGAGAAATATTATCCTGTGATGGAGTCAGGAAGGTCCAAAGTGCCAAGGAAAAGTCAGTGCTTTCTTGCTGATTCCATGCCAAAGTCACCATGGACCTCCTGAGCTCGGCATGTGACCCGAAGGGACTGTCCATGGTGCCACAGCCTTCACTCACAGCAGGAACCAAGACTTCCTGATGATTTCCAGTGGCTGTCTCAGTGCCCTGTCACTGCCCAGAGCAACTTACCTAGTAGCTGGGAAGAGAAGGGGAGAGAAGTCACAGAAGAAGTGAGAGGAGGAATGGAGCTGGCGGAAGGTGCCGTTGACTTCCCAGTTCGGGCTTGCCAGATTTTCAACCGCCTCTGTTCTCCTCTCCTGTGCTTAGCAGCCCTTGGCAACTGCCGTTAGAAGTCTGAAATGCCTCATATTTCCACAGAGCAAACTTGTGCCCGGATTTATCATGGCCTAGAGTTTTAAATAAGGAAGCTTCTGGAAAGAGGTAGCCACGCAAAGGAGAACCTCTCCAGTTGTCTTGCCAAAAGAGGAACCCTGGCAGGGACAAGGCCGGAAAGCATTCCTTTCCTTGTATGTTACAAATTTCTAAATCTCTAGGACATTGGTGCCTGCACCTGATGCCTGTGCCATTAACCTTCTCTAGCCACATCCTGAACTTCATGAAGTGTTTCTTATGCCTGAATAGCTCGTACTGGCAGGAACCAGAAAAAATTTAGGTATCCTCCAAACTGCTCTACATTTTCTATGTTCACAAGCTTTTCAATCCCACACTGGATCTTTCTTGAGTGAAAATAGACTTTGTTGCTGGCAGGCTGTGTGGACATTCTGACTCTACTTCCCAGCTAGAGATGAAACAGAGAAAAAGAACAGACTAACATCCCTGATGAACACAGACACAAAAATTATCAGAAAAATACTGGCCAACAGAATCCAGAATACTGGCCAGCAGTACATGAGGCAGATCAATCATCCAGACCAGGCAGGATTTATCCCTGATATGCAGGGATGATTCAACATTTGCAAATCAACAAATGAGATTCACATCAACAAATTGAAAAATAAGAACCATGTGATCTTCTCAATAATTGATAAAATCCAGCACCACTTCATGTTAAAGCACTAACCAAGCTAGGCATTGAAGGAACATTCTACAAGATAATCAAAACAATATTAAATAATAATAATGCCAGTCTCATACTGAGTAGGAGAGGATGGGAGCTTTCCCACTAAGATCTGGAATGAGGCAAGGACATCCACTTTCACCACAGCTATTCAACATAGTGTTGGAAGTCTCCGCTAGAGCTATTGGCCAAGAAAAGGAAATTAAAGGAACTCAAACATGAAACAAGGAATTAAAATTATCGCCATTCACAGATGACATGATTCTACACATAGAACCAAAAGGTTCAATCAAGAGACTATTGGAACTCATAGGACAGTTTGACAGGGAACAAAATTAATTAGCACAAATTGATGGCCCTCAGATACACAAATAACTCCATGGCTGACAAAGAACTTCTGTGTACAATCCCCTTTAGGATGCCAGAGAAGAATCTTAAATGATGGGATAGACCTAACCCAAAACATGGGAGATCTTTATTATGAAAGTTATAAAACATTAAAAGAAGAAGAAGAAATAGAAGAAGACAATAACAGATGGAGAAATTTACCATGTTTCTGGATCAGCAGGATCAATATGATCAAAATGTCCGTATTATCAAAAGTAATATACAGGCTCAACGTGATACTAATCAAAATCCCAGCTACATTCTTTTCAGACGCATAAAAGATGATAGAAAAATTCATCTGGAAACACAAGAGACCACGAATAGCCAAAGGAAGTGAAAATCTGCATATGAGAACGTGACCTGCAACCCTGTATTTATAGGAACACAATCCACAAGGGGAGAAGACATGGAAACCATGCAGATGCCGTCCAAGGAGGAGTGTGTAAAGAAATGGTGCATCTGCTCCAGGGAACACCACTGAGCCGTTAAGAAGAATAGAATTCTACCACTGGCAACCAAACGGTCCCAACTGGAGATCATCATACTAAGTGAAACAAGCCAATTTCAAAACGAAAAATATCATATGGTAACCTTCATGCAAAATACAGATAAATAGTTATATAGGCAGACATGTATTTACATATAATTCTCAAGAGGAACTATATAATGGAGACTAGCATGCCAGGAAGTGAAGATAAGTTGCAATAGGCATTTGTACTCCTGAATAAAGACAGACTCCCAGCGGAACTGTTAAATATACCTTGACGATAGGATACTAACGTCTGCCATTGTCTATACCTACAACGCCATGGTCCACTTCACTAACAGCATGCTGGTCTTGGACTGTTGCTGAAGGACTATCCTGTTGCGTAATAATACGGCGGAAAACATTCAAGAGTCAAACTGGGGACATAGTGGAAATCCCTATGCCTATGAAACAATATCATGAAAAATAATAACAATAATGGAACTTTCTAAATGAAGAAAAGAATGAATGTGGCATAGCAGTCAAACCACCACTTGGGATACCTGCATGCCATATTCAAATGTCTGAGTCCAAGTCCCAGTTCAACTGTCCATCCCAACATCCCGCACAGCAGGTGATAGCAGGTGAGGGCTGAAGTACATGGGTCCTGCCACCCACACCCACATGGGAGATTAGGACCAAATTCTGGGCTCTTGGCTTCTTCTGACCATCCATAGCTGGTGCAGGCATGTGGAGAGTAAATCAGAAGATGGGAGACCTACTTCTCTCTCTCTCTCTCTCTCTCTCTCTCTTTCTCTCTTCCCCCACCCCTTCCCTTCAAATAAACAAGTGAATATAATTAATTCTTGAATATAGAACAAAGAATGGGACCCACCCAGTTGCAGCATGGAGTGGGAGTAGGAGAGAGGCCTTAGGAAGCAGACAAAGTAGCCGAACAATCAAGACAGAAGCAGCAACTTGGCATTTCTGAGAAAGGCAAGAAGTGCAGCCTGGTTGGTGCTCAGATGCGAAGTGACAGCAGGCAGCACTGAGCCAGTCACCCCCCAGCCACCCCCCAGCCTTTGGACTTCATCCTGAGAAAGTGATTCTTCAGCATTGGGCTTGGAAGGAATGATGAGGGCCTCTCCCTGGACTGTGTGGGCAGAAGGGGCCACAATAACACAGAAGGCAAATGCCTGATTCCAAACTAACAGGTTCCTGATGTTCTGGCCCAGTGGGCTGAGGCCCCCAAGTCTCTCTGGTCCAGAGTTCTGGAGCAGAGCTGGGTCCTGGTTTTTTAAAAGATTCCTGGGTGATTCTCCTGGACACAGGGTTGGGAACCACGACAGTACACACAGCCTGGCAGCCAAAAACCCTGCACACATGCCCCCAGCCAGGTACTCTGCTAGCCAAATGGACTCAAACTCAACTTTTCAAGCCGTTCTGGCCAGTCGCCAAAAGCAGCCATGGCACAGGGCTGACTCCACTTGCTTCCTTGCGCTGCCCTTTCCAGGTTGATGCAAAAGACCCTGCCCAAGAGGAAACTCAAGGTAGCTGGTGGGGGAGCCCCCTCACCTGGCCCCTGGCCCTAACAGCTGAGGGCACAAAGAACTTTCAACATGCCTCATTTGGGCATCAACGACCAGTCTTACCTCCCCCCTGCCACCATCCACCACTGGTCCATGATGCACTGCATTTGGGTTTTTTCCCCTGGCCCTGAATAACACAATTTTACAAGAGGAAAAGCTGCTGGGATAGCACATGGTGGATGCAGGTTCCGGGGTCACCCCATCACCCCCAATCACCTGCAGGTGAAGCCCCTTTCCTCAGCAGCACCAAGCGACAAGCCCTCGCAGTTGTTTCCTTGAGCTGCTCCCTCCATGCTGACTCAAATCATCAGTTCGGCAGAGCCCTGGCTTGTTCTTGCAGCACTAACTGCCGCCCTGGTGTCACTTCCCCATCCTGCCCCACGGTGCTGCTGTTCTGACAGCTGCTGTTGGGGGCCTCCACAGCACATTTTGAAAGTAACTCGCCAGGCCATGGGACTTTGTGCTCTCTCAAATCTCCCTCAGCAGGCAAGTGCCGCTCACAGTGTCAGGCACTGCGAAACTGGGGGAGCAAGCAGGCAACCCCACCCACTGCAGGGGAGGACTCTGGGAGACAGGCAGCACTCAATAGCAGCCCCCTGGGATGGTCACGACGCTTTTGTCTTCTCTGCTTTTTGGCTTTTCGGTGAACTTTGTTTGGAGGCGGCTGTGGTTTTCTTCCATGTAAAGCCCTCATTCAAGCCAATCTATTTAGCATCAAATAACCATGATTTCTTATTTGCTGCCTTTCTTACTTCCTCCAGCTCCCTGTGGACAGAATGAGACCCGAGAGGATGGCAAAATGATCCAGCTGCCTCCTTGCAAGACAGGGGCTTGGGTTGTGCCAGCCATCATGGCCTGCTACCTCTTGGTGGCAAACATCTTACTGGTCAACCTCCTCATCGCTGTCTTTAAGTGAGTGTGTCATGTGTCACAGTGTTTGGCCTAAGCAGGGGGAGGAGGGCAGGAGGACAGTGAATGCTTTAGCCAACACTAGAATGGGCTCAGCATGTAGCAGAGGGCCTGTACTGAAAAGCCGGTATGCATCCCAGTTGCTCTGCATCTAAACCAACTCCTTGCTGATGTGCCTGGAAGAGCAGTGGGAGATGACCCAAGTGCTTGGGACCCTGTCGCCCAGGAAAATATGATGAAGCTCCTGGCTCTTCATGTTGGCCTGGCTTATTCCTGGCTGTTGCCACCATTTGGGGAGTGAAGCAGTAAAAGGAAGATCTCTCTCTCTCTTAAAGGCAACACTGCATCTCCTCACGTTGTTCCCTTTGTTCTCTCTTTCAGCAACACATTTTTTGAGGTTAAGTCGATCTCCAATCAAGTGTGGAAGTTTCAGCGGTATCAACTCATCATGACCTTCCATGAAAGGCCAGTTCTGCCCCCACCTCTGATCATCTTCAGTCACATGACCATGATCTTCCAGCACCTGTGCTGCCGCTGGAGGAAGCAGGGAAGTGACCCGGATGAAAGGGACTATGGCCTGAGTGAGTTCCAAGTGACAGCCCCAGTGACCCCCAAGCTGTCCCATCTCAGCCATCAGGGAGAGGACATCGATCACCCACTTGCACCTGCGGCCTTAGAAGGCAATGCATGCTGAACCTGGCATTGTCAGTCTCCCACCTCGCTTTATGACATGCAGCCAACCTCCAACAGGGCTACTTTGGTGCCTTCTTAAGTCCCAAGTTTCTGACTTTCCAGTGGTGGTCCTACACGAAACACCAACCATAGCAATATGCACTCTGTTATACATTATCTACCAATCTTGGTGTGAATTGCTTTGCAAGCAATTAAGTTTGACTTTTTCCATCATCGTTTCTGAACCAATCATTTGTTTAAGTCTCAGATATTTTCCCAAGTCTTAGAAGTTGCATTAATCTGAGCTCATGAGGATCGCAGCTGTGCTTTCCATTCAGAAGGCAAAAGAGACTCCCTGCCACGCTCCTTCTAGCCTGGTGTTTCTAAAAGGGGGTGCTGTTGGCCGGGCTAGCACAGCTGCTAACTGTGTACCACGCACCTGGCTTCCACACCCTGTGAACAGTAGCTTCTGGAGATTCCTGACTGCCTCTTGTGTCCCACCCTACGTTTAGAACCACTGGGCATGCAGCCTCATACCAGGAAGCTAACATGGGTTCTCAGAAAGTGTCAGACGGACATTAACCCACAAACAGAGCCTCTGAGGCTGTGGTCCAGGAACCGCCCTCCACACGATCTCCCATGTAGCTAAGCCTTGATCTGCAAAGCATGTAATCGATGCTTCTCTAAATGTGAAGCCCTTCACAGCCTCTCTGACAGAGCAGTGTCCAACTTCTTTCTCAGCATTCAGACCCAGAGGGGGAAGAGAGGTCGGAATTCCAGAATGTCACTCCATCTGAACCACGCATTCAGGCAAATGAAACGCTTGGAGGCAGGGCAAGGCAGAGAGTAGCGGATGAGACCAACTTAGCTTTGCTATCAAGGAAATTCAGCCCGTGAGGGGGAACACAGAGTGCTGAATCAGGGGCATGGGTATGACAAAAACTTCAGCATTGCATGGTATGCTCTCCTGAGGGTTGACTCAAGGATACCAGTCAGTTACAATAAACCATGCGTTATTGGTGGTAGAAGGAGGATCTCACATGCCCACAGAACCCAGGAAGTAGAGTCTGGAACAGCACAGGCAGTAGGGTGATAGAGACCATTTGTACTGCAACACCCACTTCCTTGCAGCAGACACTGGACCAGATGAGAGCCAGCTCCAAGGGGAGCCATAAAAGCAATGCCAGGCCACTGGACACATGGCTGGGTCAGGCCGAGACCCCTTAACTATTCATCTGTTGGAGTAAACAAATTTTTGCTCTAGCTTTTATTTAAAGAACTCAGTGCATTGCCAAGTTCCTGTCAAACCACAGATAAAACACTGTGAAATGTAAATTTCAATTTTTATTATAAAACTTGCCATATTGATGGATTTTCAAAAAAATGGCATCTTAAGAACAACCCAAATATCCATTACAAATAACCAAAGAAGTCAAATGAGGCATGTAAGGTGCCAACAACATAAGTAGCCAGTGTCTGCGAGAAGGCTTCTTTCTACCTTGAGGATTCCGGAAACTGCTTCTCTTCATTTCCCTCCTCCTAGCTGCCAACTTTCCAGTTGTTAAGTTTGGTTTTTTCCATGATCATTTCTGAACCAATTAAATTCATGACTGCGTCTCCAGCATTCCCTCCTGATCAAGCTCTCGTGAACTCTGGCATGCTGGACTGGAGAGGTCTGATCTATTTTCCATGCCCCAGGTAAATTCAGACAGTGGTAACTTCAACCAACTGCGTTGCGGATACCCTCACACGCAGGGCTCCGGGCATCTCAGGCAACCCACGTGGCATCCTAAGGACCCAGGACAGAAGGGGGCCTTAGCCCATTTTCATATCATTTTAACCACTGAGCTATTTCTGCATTGCTGTCATCACTGAGTTGGTTTTCATGCTTCACAATGTATTATGAGTTGTTTACCCTCTATTAATTGAAAACCATGCTACCAATCACTCAAATAAGGAAAGCTTTAATTATCTCATTTGACAGATGGGAAAAAGATAGTGAGCCCAGAACTAGGAACATGGCTCATGGAAGCTAAATGCCCACAGTTCTATTTTTACTTTCAGCTAATTCTTGTCAAGTGGTTTTGTTTCAGGGTTGCACAACAGCCTCTGCACCTCCAGTCATCACATTTACATTTAAGGGAGGATAAAGGGGGGGCACATGAAAAGAAGCAATCACATCTCCAGCTCCTCCCCAAGACACCACCCCTCCCCGCAGCAGCCTTCCATTGCTTCCTGTCCCCAACTGGGTCTTGTAGCTGCTGGCAGCTGCAGGTGAAAATGGAAATGTGGATATAGTTACCTCCCAGCCTTAGAAATCGGATGGGGAAAGGAGAAATGTGGTTGCAAAAGAACTGTCAGTAAGGCCTGTCTATAACCTCTGTCTCCATCATCACCCCAGCCCAGAAATGATCGAGCTCCTACGAAAGCCCTGCGCTCTGAGTGGTTTCCTTTTCACTGAGTTTTGTTCTTGGCTTTCCAACTTGTATTGTTCTGACCAACTCTATAGAAAACCAGATACACACACGTGAACATCAGAGCAAGGCAGCAGATCTCACATTCAGGAGGAAGATGGCAACGCTAACCACCTTACTGGAGTTAGACTTTGGAACTTAGGAAAGAATCAAAGCCCCTCTTCCCAACCTCAGTGTGTGTGTGTGTGTGTGTGTGTGTGTGTGCGCGTGTATACATATATGTGTTTATACATACATACATATATATATCCACCAACCCAAGTCCATTGCCTGTACTCCTCTGTCCAATGGATCACTCCCTCTCTTCTTTTCACAGAACTCTTCATAACTGATGATGAGCTCAAAAAAGTACATGACTTCGAAGAGCAGTGTATAGAGGAATATTTCAGAGAAAAGGATGACCGATTCAACTCATCCAACGATGAAAGGATACGGGTGACTTCAGAAAGGTAGTTTTCATGGGCCCATGCCTCCCACACACCTTTTCTGTCATGCATATACCATCAACCAAATTTTCTTACACACATCTCTTGTGTAATTTGTCTCAGAAATCATGGAGGTAATAAAAGATACAGGGCACATCCTAGCATTCTGCAGATCAGAACTCCAGACTTACAGGTGCAGGCCTTGGCAGTGCAGGCTGTTGCGTGTGGAACAGGGCTGAGGTCGCTGGCTCAGGCCATAAGCCAGCAAATTCTGAGCCAGATACACAGCCAGCAAAGATGCCTCAACTCCAGGCTCTCCGACAGGTTTGTACATTGCATAAACCCCTGAGCACCTTTCCCAGGGGACTAGAATGGCCTTAATGTCTAGCTGAGAAACTTGCTCAATGCCTTCCAAACTAAATACTTATCAACTAGTTATAATAATCATTAGCTGTCTCTTTTTCCCCCTAACTGCTTTGTTTTGCTATTTTATAAACAGGTCAAGTACAAAGAAATAAAAGCAGATTTCTCTACTCAATGATTATGTAGTTTTAGTTCTCACTGACAAAACAGGTAGTTTAAGTAGCAAAACTCTAGGGAAAAATATCTCCCTCTGGGGCCAGCTTTTTGGTGCAGTGTGGTAAGAGCTGCCTGGGGCCAGCTTTTTGGTGCAGTGTGGTAAGAGCTGCCTGTGACACCAATATCCCTTTTGATACCAGTTCAAGTCTTGGCTGCTTCCTTTCCAATGCAACTCTTCTGCTAACATGCCTTTGAATGCAGCAAAAGCTGACCCAAGTACTTGGACCCCTGCACCCATGTGGGAGACCCAGATGGAATTCCAGGCACCTGGATTCAGGCTGGCCCAGCCCCAGCTGGTTGCCTGTCACAGTCATTTGGGGAATGAACCAGTTGATAGAAGATCATTCTCTCTCTCTCTCTCTCTCTCTCTCTCTCTATATATATATATATATATATATATATTTATATAGACATATATATATGTCTCTCTCTATATATATATCCCTGCCTTTCAAATAAATAAAAAATTAAGTCTTATTTAAAAACAGAGAAATCCCCAAATGAAGAAAATCCCTTAAAGCTAACAATTCGCCTTTATATAAATGGAATTGTTTTCTTATGGGTCTTATCTTGCTGTAGCTTGATAAAACCTTCTTCATGGGCTACAATGTTCAAAATCCAGTGTCCCAAGGAGTATTCAGAGTGTTTGCAAGGCAATAAAGTCACTTTAAATTATAAGCATTTGCAGCATAAAAATGGCGGAGCGAATTATAAAAAGTGTAGAAGGATGTAAGGCACTGGTTGCTGATTTTAGTCTCTATGGCCCAGAATGCTAAGATTCAAGGCAGTCACGTCTAGTCTGCATGAAATGGCATTCTGTCCGCTGATCCACTTCCGTCTGCAGTGACCTGTAGACACTGCAAGGGGCATTTCATCCCTGTCCCTGGTCCTGTACGTCTTGGTAAGAAGTTTCCTGTAGCCGTGACACCGAGTGATCTAGGTGATTTCATTTCTACGTACTAGCAAATATTAATAAAGCGGAAAGCCATATGCAAAGTCCACACAGACCTGTCACTGCAAAATAGGGTGTTCTAGAAGAATACTAATCCTGCCACTGCCTTCCACATTCAATGTATTTATACTAATCATATTTGTGAGATCTGCTTAGAAAAACAAATATGCTGCCTTCATTAGTGAATTAAATGGGCGATTACTAAAGCACACTTTAGGTATGTAAAGAATTACATGCAAGTGTTCAAGAGATCATGAACACCTCTTAGAAGCCTGTTTCTGAAAAGAACTTGTCCTTCTCATTTCTCAGATGGCAAACACCCAGTGGCTACTTAACAAATAACCCGGATACCTCTAAAAGGTGATGGCAGATGCCTGAGAAAATGATGCATGGATTTCAACTTTTTGCATCAAAACATTGAAACTTGCATTTTTTTTTCCACGGACTCTTTGAAATGTGCTCCTATGTCATGAACGACTGGCAGGCCTTGGCCTGGGGTAGGAGAAGGGAGTGCAGAGAATGTTGCATCTCACTATGCCTGCTGGAAGGGACCGTCTCCCGGCAAGGGGGAAGCATTGCTTACAGGAGAAATCTATGAACAAACACAGGGGAAATGAAACCTTTTTCTATCTGAGAAAGTGTTTCACATTCATGAAGACCACTGTCACCACCCTACCTCGCCTTGTCTTTTCCAGATGAAATACTCCACAATGGGTTCACCATTTACCCTGCTTTCCAACAGACCGCACAGGCTGCTCACTTTCTCAGTACAAAATACACTTGAAGTAGTCAACATCACATATTTAAAGAATTTCAATGTGATGTCTACATTGAGCTTAATTCCCTGTGTTGCCGTTAGCTCCTGGATTTAATTCCTCTATTCACTCACTCGTTGGCTATTTAGAGCATGCACTGTATTTTGGATTAGTACTTGCACAGTAGGACAAGCAGTTCTTTCCGTGGCATAATGGCAAGAACACAATAATGGAAAGATTTAATGCTAATTGTGCAGTAGCTAGCTGTGTGATTTTAAGTAACTTAATTAACTCCTCTGGACTGTGTGCCTATCTGTAGACCTCACTATCTAGTATTAAAAGTTACTGAGGTAACATATAAGGGTATTCAAACAGGTCACAGAATAGAAAGCTGATGTCCATTTTAGTACAAGGAAAATCCATTCATAATTTTCTCATACAGTTTCCATTAACTTAATCATTTTATTTCTTATGCATTCCTTTGAGAGAGAGACAGAGCTCCCACTTGCTGGTCCATTTCCCTAAATGTTTACAGATTAGAGGTGGGTTAGTCCAAATCTTAGAGTGAGAAGCTCACCTACCTAACCACCTGAACCCTTACCACCGCCTCCCGGGTGCACCTTAGCAGTGACTCAGGAGATGGAGACTGCAAAGGAGATGGGCTTCACTTTCTCTCTCTCTCTCTCTCTCTCCCTCTCTCTCTCCCTCCCTCCCTCCCTCCCTCTGTTTCTCTCTCTCTCTGGCAGTCACTCTGCCTTTTAAGTAAACAAATAGCCTTACAAAAGAAAATCCTGCAGAGACAAAGGACCTTGAAAATGCTCAACAGACTCATCCACAGCCAAGCATGTCCGTGCTCCTCCAGGTGCTTGTGAGGAAGCACTGTATCCACTTACTGAAGCTTACTGCATCCCAAAAATAAAACTGCAGTACTTGCAAAATCAAACACCACAGTTTCGATGTTGAAAATTAACCGTAAGCCTATAAGGCCAACCCACTGTTGGTATCTGTTTCTTTGGTGATAGTTACACAACAAAACGAAGTGAAGGAAGGAATAGTTGGCATTTTCCTTTGGAATTAGCCAGGTTACCTGAGCAAATCCTGTGGGGTTTGCCAGACACAGATCTGATAATGACTGTGAGCCTGGGCAAAGAAAGAGCAAAACAAAGAGGTCTGGAATAAGGGGAGCAGCCCAGGGCCCAGGCTAGAGCAGGGAAACAGGGGAGTCAGGGCAGGGAAAGTCAACTTCTTCAGGAGAAGCCTGGTGGTCCCCCAGGGGTGGCATCCGCATGCTCCTAGATGCTGGAACAGAGTGTGTATTTCTCCAAGGCGGAGGCAGTGCTGGCAAATGTAGCTGTACCACCACACAGCTGTGGAGACCCAGCTGCAATCCCCCATGCGCATGGTCTTCACGCAATTCCACACTCTGAATTAGGCAATCTCCTGTTATATCCCAAGACTGGAAAAGTCGCTCTGTGTGGTCCAGATACACGTGAACAGGTCTTACTCAGTTAACACAAGGTCTGTGTTGGGCACTTAAAGGAGAACATTATCAAATCTATACTTAAAATATGCAAAAGTTTGAACTCATGCCATAACCTGGCTTACATTTGTCCTAAGATAATTAATGCAACCTATTTAAAATGGTGGCTACTGTCTGTCATTAAATGGCCAGAGAGAACACTGAATTCAAGTTCACAACTGTTACAGACTCAGTAAACATTGATTGGCACCTGGCTGCACTGGGCTGACAGCATGGAAAAGGAAATATTAAAGAGGCTACACCCTTGAGGCTCTATGAAAGAGGGTGGAGATATTTAGAAATAACCATTATATGGGAATCTGTGAACAGCTACCCAGAGAGAGAAGTACCACAAATGACCTGGGTACTCACAGTTACATTTCTTGATGTTTCCTCTATAGGGGAAAGGATTGGTTTAGATGGGAACAACCCCACATTAACTCCTCTGGAGGCACTGACTCTGAAAAGATGAGGTGTGCTTGCTTGGGCAGCAGATGCCAAAAGACCTTCCTGAATAACAACAACAACAACAAAAGCACTGTACAGATGCAAAATAAAAATTATTCCAGTCCACTGAATACAAATATCATATATATCCTCTAATTTAAAAAAAAAAAAAAGCCGCATTTTAAAATTCTGTTGCAAGATCGAGTGAAGTCATCCAAATTGAGTAGTCATCCAAATGCAGCATTCTTATGTTTGCCAGCAACGCTGATAAGCCAATACTCCCACCTTTATGTGGCTCACGAAGCCCTGTGCTAAGCCTCAGCTAGGCTGTGGGGCAGCAGGAGGGTGGGACTAGGGCCTCATTCCACTGCAGCAAGGGCTGCTCCACCCTGGAGTGTGCTTAACCAGACTGGGCATTTCATCTCATTAAAGGAACAAGTAAGAAGGGGGACTGGTTGCTAACAATCACTGAGTCAGATCACCTTCAAAGCAGTTGACAACGATTTGGATTTGGATTCTGGGCTTGCGGGTGTCAGTATCAATGCCCTCCTCCATCTCCCGGCTTCTCCAGTTCCCCTCTGGGAGGCGGGCCACCATGACACCCACAGCTGACCATGCCTCGGGCCCTCTCCGTCCTCACTCTCTGTAACCTCGCCAAGGAAGCCATCCTCGCTGACCTTCATTTGCTGTCCCTCACCCAGGGTGGAGAACATGTCCATGCGGCTGGAGGAAGTCAACGAGAGGGAGCACTCCATGAAGGCGTCGCTGCAGACCGTGGACATCCGACTGGCACAGCTCGAAGACCTCATCGGGCGCATGGCCACCGCCCTGGAGCGCCTGACCGGGCTGGAGAGGGCGGAATCCAACAAGATCCGCTCACGCACCTCCTCAGACTGCACCGACGCAGCCTACATTGTGCGCCAGAGCAGCTTCAACAGCCAGGAGGGGAACACGTTCAAGCTCCAGGAAAGCCTGGACCCTGCAGGTGAGGAGAGCATGTCCCCAACTTCTCCCACCTTAATGCCCCGTATGCGGAGCCATTCTTTCTATTCGGTCAATGTGAAAGACAAAAGTGGGATAGAGAAGTTGGAGAGTATTTTTAAAGAAAGGTCCCTGAGCCTCCACCGGGCCACTAGTTCCCACTCGGTAGCTAAAGAATGCAAAGCTCCCGCAGCCCCCACCAACACCTTGGCCATTGTTCCCGACTCCAGAAGACCGTCCTCCTGTATTGACATCTACGTCTCCACCATGGATGAGCTCCACTGTGACGCAGACCCTCTGGACAGCTCCATGAACATCCTGGGGTTGGGCGAGCCCAGCTTTTCAACTCTCCTGCCTTCCACAGCTCCTTCAAGCAGTGCCTACGCCACTCTTGCACCCACAGACAGACCTCCAAGCCGGAGCATTGATTTCGAAGACATCACCTCCATGGACACTAGGTCATTCTCCTCAGACTATACCCACCTCCCAGAATGCCAAAACCCATGGGATTCAGACCCTCCAACGTATCACACCATTGAGCGGTCCAAAAGTAGCCGCTACCTGGCCACCACGCCCTTTCTTCTAGAAGAGGCTCCCATCGCGAAGTCACACAGTTTTATGTTTTCACCTTCAAGGAGCTCCTACGCCAACTTTGGGGTGCCCGTGAAAACCGCGGAGTACACCAGCATCACAGACTGCATCGACACAAGGTGTGTCAGTGCCCCTCGAGCGCCCGCAGACAGAGTGCCGTTTCCTGGTGCCCTGGGAGACAAAGTGGAGGACTTATCTTGCTGCCATCCCGAGCGAGAGGCAGAACTGAGTCATCCCAGTTCCGACAGTGAGGAGATCGAGGCCCGGGGCCGGAAAGCTGCCACGGCACTTTCCTCCCAGGAGGGTGAGAACGCAGACAGAACCCTGTCCAACAATATCACAGTTCCCAAGATGGAGCGTGCCAACAGCTACTCTGCCGAGGAGCCAAGTGCGCCGTATGCACACACCAGGAAGAGCTTCTCCATTAGTGACAGGCTCGACCGGCAACGCAATGCGGCCAGCCTGCGGAACCCCTTCCAGAGGAGCAGGTCCTCCAGGCCAGAGGGCCGAGGGGATGGCCTGTCCATGAGGAGACTGTCCAGAACCTCGGCTTTCCACAGCTTTGAAAGCAAGCACAACTAGACCTTTTCCCACCCCTCTCCCCTGCACTGTATGAGGCTCAAGAGTCCAGCCCTTAAAATTCTCCCCAAACTCCAACTTTCCCCACATCCCTTCCTTGAACCACACTCACTTTATGCTTAGCTGAGCAAAACAAGCAATGCTTTGGGAGGTGTTCACTCACAGGTGACTTTGGGGCCACAGACCCAGGAAGCTCCTGCTCTGGCCCCGTGCCAAGCACAGGGAGTTGATGCCATGTTCACACTCGCTGGGTAGGGAGGGAGAGAAGGGGAACAGGCGCTGCAGACCACCACGAGCTCTGGGGAACCAAGGGGCTTCAAGCATTCTTCATGCCAAGAGGCATTACTCAGAGTTTTAGGATGCAGGGCTAAACTGCAGAATAAAATAAAATAGCCAGCCTACAAGATGAGATATTCTAAACTTCCATTCTGTTTTCTTTTCACATTGGCTCCATCACTGGTGACTGACGAAGAGCATCCTTTTTATTCAGTGTAAGCCGGCAGCAAGCAGTTCTCCTAACGTCCCACATCCTTCTCATGCCAACACCTGTGTAATTGGTCATTATAAAGAAAACACAAGGTAACAGTCACAGTTCACCTGTCTCTTCTGTATTCACTTCTGGTACCACAACTGTTGATCTTTTTTGGAGACGATAAGGGAACGGAAATGCCTTCTTGCATTGCAATCAAAGTGAAAGAGGAATTCATGTCCAAAAGTCATGTGATCTATCACATACAGTGGGCGTTCAGGTAGAGTCAAGCAAGCTCAGGATGAGTGGAATCAAATAATTTTATATCTTTAATTTATTTTGTATCTCACCTGTCCATCAATGAATTCACTCATCGACTACGGAATAATGACCTTTTCAAAAGAAAGTGGCAAAACTGACCTAGAACTGCCATAAGGGACATCGCGGTATTACCACTCGTGTCCTGTGCAGTGCTGTTCTGTGGCCTTGACCATGTGCATGGCTCCACCCCACCCTCCCAGCGCATCCAAGATGGAGCTACCGGCGTCTCACGCTGCTCATTACCACCTGACCATTTTGTATGAGCGGATGTGGTTATGTGTGACTGTTTCCCTACCTGGGGTTTTGCCATCTCATCTGAGCTCAGCAGAAAATTCACTGGAGTTTTTCAAGGGCTGGTATCTTTTGTACAGAAATGTTCCAAAGTTGTTTTTAAGCAAGTTTCAAAAACATAATCTTAGAATTGACTGGGAGTTTGATATCAACCCAAAGCCATCAAAGTCATACCATGAATATTTTTCTTACACACAGAGCTATGAGAAAAGAGATAGTAGACCAAAATAGAAAGTGAAGAAACCACATGTAGAGTTTTATAGTATGTGCTGTTACATGCATACATCTGCATCTACGCAGAGATGCTTATATCCATCATATGTAAACAGACATTCAGAGCATTCTTAGGGGGCTCAGAGTTACTGATCCTCTTGAGGTATAAATAAGATTTTTTAATATCCAAGAAGTTCTGCTGAAAGAGCCCATTAAATGAGAGTATGGGCTTTAAAAAATCTCTATAACCTTAGCTTTTCTTTGCACACACTAGAGGTACCACATGCCCTTTGCTCAGCTGACTCCTGCTGGGTTCTCTTGCACAAAGCTGTTCCACAGAGCACAGTCTGCCCAGACTCTAAACCAGAAGCAGAGGCTTCTGGATCAGACTGGATCTGAAGTGTGATCAACAAATTTGGTCCCCTTCCCCCAGTCTTCAGATTCCCGTTTGGATTGCTATTAAAAATAATACTAATAAAATAAACCCTTCAAGGAAAACAGCTGGATGCTCCTAGCCCAAGATACTACATAATTTTATTTTCTTTAGTTGTGGTTGTAAACTCCAGGTCATCATTTGTAAAAATAGATACATGCATGGAGAAAACCTCTAGCCTTTAAATATCGAAAGAAAGAAACTTGTGATGAAGCTTAGCAGGTACAGAGTGACAGGGTCACAGGCCTGAAGAACTAAACACCTTCTTCATTGCTTGGTGTTTAGAGGGCTCAGCAACAAACACCCCGCCTCCTTGAAACGCTTCCAAGTCCCCATGTTGGCCATTTCCTTTCCAGCCAACCTAACTTTGGTCTGAGAATAAATGAGTTGTCCTTAAATTTTCTTCGTTTGTGAATCCCTCTAAGCAAATGCTGTGCATCTGTGCCAAGTTGCAATGTTAACTTGAAATGAACCCATCAGCCCTGGTCCTACACTGATTGATAATGAGGAAAAGAAACTATGTTTGTTCATAATCAACATAGCTGTGTTAGGCACTTCACATTTTAAGACCACTTCTCTGTGACCCTTGGAAAGGCTGCATCTCAGCACCTGAGATGAGGCATCCTTGTAGCTAATCATGTAATGACTATTTTTAAGTAGTGAGTACATTCACCAAGGCCAAGGCTTTCTGAGGGAGTCCAGAAAGGGTCCCAACCAGTAGGTGAACCATTTTTCTCTCTGACCATAGGACAGGACAGCAAGCACCTCCAGGGCCTCATTCTGGACCAGCTTGCAAGTGGAGAAAAATGTTGAACCTGAGTTTTTCTATCACCATGATTTGTGGGGAGCAAAGAACAGAATCTAGGAAACTGGATACTTCACAGTTCTGATCTTGTTACTACCTAGTTCTTTCATCGTGCATGGAAATGAAAAGTGCTAACCTATTTTATGAAGTGTGTGAAATGTGTAAGTCAAATTTAAATGACACAAACTGCAACTGTCATGAGCCATCCCCTTCCCTATGCCTGTGTGTGTTTTCTAATCCCATCTCTCCGTGTCTGGGTTCTCTGCACACCAGTGGAGCCTTGAATCTGTGGCCTGCTGCAGTCAGCTTGGGCTTCACTCATTTATTCCACTGCGTCCTTGATGGAGGGAGGTTAACTACTTGTCTCTGTGAATTAAGCAGCTCACAAGCAGCAAATTATCGATGACCATAAATAAACTAAAAAGAGCCCAAGGAGGAAATGTAGCTTCCATTTAACCAGCTGCTTCAAAGGTGCCAACTTTTACAGACTGCTCTGTTATGAGTTGTTCTAAATCGCTTGTTCCTTTAGAAAAAAGTTCAGAATGCTTCATGAAAACGATCATGAAGGTTTCCTGACTAACCCACATACTTTATATTTTGTAGTTAGAAACCCCTTCCTTGATGGAATTGAATAAGAAGCTAGAAAGCGAGGGCGGCTAGTTCGTGTATTTCTTCAGCAAGCCACAAGTTGTATTAGCAGTCAGAATGCAGCACTTTACAAAACTGGAATTCTTTAAGTCTAAACTTTCAGGTCTAGGCTATCATTGAGCACTTTGAATGCTGCCTTTTTAAATATACATAGAAGAATCATTAAATGGAGAAAATATACTCATAAAAATGTAAGATGTTTCTTCTGAATGTTTCTAATGTGTTCTGGGAGAGCCTTGCTATGGATGATATTATGGTTGCTGACTGGATAGCACATTTTGTCTACTTTCTGAGCCTCTGCAGTCTAATCTTCCTAAATGTTTGGGCTGTTTTACTATTTTAAGTCAATATTATCCAGTCCTCCATGATGCTCTACCTACAGGCTATACCATTCAACGTGTTGAGCAATGCTGTATTATAAAACACATGTCAACATATATGTAACCCTTGTTTAATCCAGCATAGCTGTAGCATGTGGTTGTATTAATGAACGTTACAGGCCAGCTTTATAATCACAACTCTGTGACATTCAATAAAGAAGCACATGTTGCAAGGATTCATTATGCTCCCACTCCCATGTTATTGAGCAGCATCGTGAAATGAGCCTGTCCTGTTTCTGACCTGTTTTGTGTTTCTCACATTCCTGTAGACCACTGTAGAATCTCTGTTTGCACTGACGCTGAGCCTCCACTAAGCCCTGCAAGTTGTGACTTTATGAAAGACAAACTGGCATGTCATGCAGAAGGTTGTCTAACAAGTGAACTTAAATCAATATTTCAAACTCCAGTTCAGCTAGCTGTTTGTTTCCGTCTGCTGACCCAGTGTGGACGCAGTGTCCAGTGTTTTATAAATATGTTCCTCCAGCAACACTGTGTTGTTTCTAGATTACGTGATGCGAGCGTGTAGCTGGTTATGCACTCAGCCCAGCTATTGCATTATAACTCACTTTAACAATAGCAATGCGACTGAAAGGAAGGAATCCCTCTCCAAACTTTGTCTTCACTTCATGTCAGCAAGACGCATGCACTTTATGCACTTCTTTTGCCTTTTCTCATGCACTTAACATTCTGCCACAGCCTGCTGTAAATTGTGAATTAGCTAGCAACTTAATGAAATAGTTGGGCTTTTAAACTGGGGATTATATTCCATTTTTAAATATTAGAAACAACTAACGAAGGAATTTTAAATTTTTTGTTTAGGATATGAACAAATAACATGAAATAAAGTATTAGCCAGGGGTCATATAGCTATGGGACTCAGAGCTGACAAGTCAGTATCACTTGGGTATACCAAGGGCTAGGTTCGATGTATCTGTAATGAATGAAAGACATTTTTATGACACTTTAGGGTCTGGGTGTAAATTTCTAATCCAGGTATGAGAGTGGAAAGACCATTCATGACGGCGTGAAAGTCCACAGATGAGCGTCAGTGAGCAAAGCAGAGGTGCAATGTGTGCCTGCTTTGGTTGGGCTCCCAGGAGAGAGGCAGATGACTGGGGTCTGTGTGCCCTGTATGACTCTGGAGAGCTTACTTTTTCAAAGAAATCAGCATTTTATTTGTAGAAGCCATTCAACTTCTAGAAGAAGGGAGGAACCAGTTTACCCATTCAACAACTGCTGCTAAAATGAGGGGACACTTCCTCAGCCTGCATGGGCCTACATCTCCTCTTCCCGATACAAGCCAACCATCCAGCTCTCCAGTTGTAGTCAGCCAAAGAATGAGCTGGTTCTCATTGAATAAAAACAAGATTTTTTCCTTTCCCATTGGGAATTCATGTTAGAAGGTACTTGCAAGGTACATCTCTTCAACAATTTCCTAGCACTTAACATCGCTGCAGACATTCCAATGGGACCATCGCTGCACGTTGTCAGAGAGAGGATCGCCATCCAGGTGGCAGTCACAGTGAGGAGACAAACTTTCTTTTCCCTGACTTCCTCAGTGCGCTGCCTCCTTCAACCTGCAGGCAGCTGTGTATTCACACAGGGTTTGTGTGCTGGGAAGGGAAAAAGCCACGTGGGAGTATGTGAGTTTCCTCAAGAGCATTAATGCCAACCACAAGCCAGTCCAGCTGCAGAGAACTGCGGGACACAGTGGGAAATCCCAGTTCCTGTCTCAAGTTCAGCCTTCACAACCAACGCCTTGCCTTCCTCCTATCTCTCAGTCCACCACTAGCTGCTGCTTCTGCTTCTGCCAGACTAACACATCCTCGCTTCCATGACCTCAGGATCGTGTGGCCCTTGGCACGCTGAACAGGATGTTCATATCCACTGCATCCAATTCTTATCTGAATCTAAAAAAAAACCTCTCCATCTTCACCAGCTTCTCACCAGCTATCTGTCTACATGGAGAGGTTTGCCAACTGAACTCAGGGCCAGATCCAGAATCCAGTCTGTGAACTGGCCTGGTGTGGTGTGTACAGACATGGGAAAGAGAACGTACAGCCCAGCACGAGGACATTCAGACTCAGCTTCCCAACACTGTGCTAGCCAACAGATAACTGGCAGCAGCATTCAGTCCCCTCAACGATCATCTGGGACTCTGATTTAAAGTCAAGTAGGATCAGATTCTTGATTTGGGCTTAGAGAGCATTCACATGAAATATGCTAAGAACTGAGAGGGAGGAAGAGAGACAAACCCTGCTGAAGGTTTTGCACGCCCTCCTGAATGACGCACGGTGCACACTGTAAGCCATGGCATTGTGGACCTGGACACGGCACCTCTGGAAGGGAGATCCAGAAAAGTACCGGAGCGTTGTACAAAGATGTCCCCGCTTGCCGGCACAACAGCTTCCGACCTGAGTGCGTACTGCTGCTATTGCTATGCGAAACAGTCCATGCTGGCCTCATGGCCATTTCATAAGCTAGAACTTAG